ATTTTCTTTATTTTTATTTGACAGTATAGTTTTTGCCTAAACATAGCACATACCGAACCATACCGAAACCGTGACTCTAAAACCGTGATACAAACCGAACCGTGAGTAAGCTGAACCGTTCCACCCCTAACTCATACTATATCATACTGAGTGTCAGGATCCCACAATTTACCCATTCTTCCTGCTGATGCTTCACATCTTATTGCCTGTTTCGGTAGCTTATAAAAACGTAGTTCTGTTTTTTTTTAGCTTGTTTGCTGTACACCTTGTCACACAGCAACTTTTAGGCATTGTTCTGTTTTTTTTTGTTATAAGTCAGAAATGACAAGGAGGTAGCTTCCCGCAATACTAATTAAGTCAATGGAGAGGGTTGGATTATTTAACAAAGCATATGCAAAACGCTTGAACCAGACATGGCGAGACCTGGTTAACAGAATATGGAAGTCTGTTGCGCATAACCCCTATAGTCTTTGAGTTGGCTCGTGTGGTTTATGTTTCGCGCTTCAGAAATGTGACGTAAGGGAGCATAGTGAGCGTCGATGCTCCCTGGTTTTTGCGGTGCATTGTGGGATTTTTCAGGGAGCGAACGTTCCAGTGCACTGGAAGGATTTCTCGACTGAGACAGCCCTTAAAATGCCTGACTCCCTGATCAGTGCCCTGACTACTGAACTAGGGAGCTGATTGAGACGCACCATACATCTATTACGACTGTCGCGAATAAAGTGACAATGAAATGAAAAGTGTCGATTACGACATTAAATTAAAATCTGCTCATGTTGCATCACATCTCTTTTTACTAATTTTTTACGGCGTTGACCATTAAACCAATCACAGACAATTCTGTTGAGCTTATGAATGCAATGGCCAATCAGAGGGGTTCAGATTAGTCATCGCTGAAACACGCGGGGGTTTGTTCAGTGCGCGCACTCGCTGACTGAATTCTGCAATCTGCACTCTCTCATCTCATCGCGAATTCTCTCATCATAAACATCAGTTCAGATGTGCGTACGGTGTAAGAAAGACATTCATTTCACAGTGTGAACAGCTTCATTGACTATAACGGGAGCTTTTTTTTTTAGACTGCTTAAACTCGCACTGGATTCAGTGGTAATGTTCTTTGATAATGTAAATGTTCTTTGCTCGCTTTTTGAATATTAAAGCTTTATAATTATTAACTTACAATGTTTTTATTAAATTCAAGTTAAATACAAAGTCAGTCACATTAAAATATTTTATGACATGACACCCATAGCCTAAGTAAGTACTTAAGTAAAAAGATGGGTTTTATGGGTAGTTAATAGATTAAATTTTCATTAGGCTACTTTGCCCATCGCCCTATAGATCAACATGATCTATAAAGGTGCAAAATGCATTTACTTACACATATGCGAGAATCAATATATTTCATGATATAGTTAACTAGTTTGGGAATATTTCAAATATATATATAAAAAAAAATTAAAAGGAAAAATGTTATAAAACTACTAGTAGAGCAGGAAGACTAGGTTCCCATGCACCCACTTGGCAGTTTTTTGTAACCTGGTTTTTTGGGACCCTAATGGTGTCTAGTTACGAATTTTTGATGTTGCCGAGGTCAACTAATGTCCCATGGGGTTCGTTTGGTGGCCATCTTGAAATGATGTCATCACGAGTGATGAAAAACGTCTCTAGGTTACGTATGTAACCATGGTTCCCTGAGGGAACGAGACGCTGCGTCGAGATTGCTCTGGGAACGCCCTTGCGTGACCGCGTTCTGAAGCACGTGTCAAATCCGTCCAATGGAGCAGTGAGACGTCACGAGCAGGGTGACGTAAGCACCAGAAAGCATAAAAGCGCATCCGGCCGGGCGCAAACCAGCTTCGATGAAGTAGCGCCTGCAGGGATGCAGGGAGTATGGCAAAGAGACGCAGCGTCTCGTTCCCTCGGGGAACCATGGTTACATACGTAACCTAGAGACGTTTCGCTTTATTTTGATGGTCCCGTTAACACATTCTGTTGAGTACGGTTTCTCCCACGATCTTGACACCTCAGCATGGAGATCGGGGAAAACGGAAGGCCCCCGTCGTGAAGGCTGTGATCTGGATTCAGAAAACGCTCGTCTAATTATTTTTAGGACGTGCGTCCTGTTTCTAGGCTGGCCAAACGATATTTTATTTTGGCGAATGCACGAAACACACCCCATAATCACGAATCACACCTCATACGCGAGGGACTGTGGTGGCGAGTCCACAGTCTCCTCTGTCTCGACACTCATCACATCCACCTGCTCGGAGGAAGATAAATGAAGCGTCTGGCTCTCTCTCTCTGGGGGGGGAGAAACCGCAGCGCGGGCTTCCGAACCGTGAGAGAGAGCCGCGGATCTAGCGGGTGAGGACCGAGAAAAGGACGAGCCCGTCTCGGATCCCTCCGCTAAATCCACTTGCGATCCCCATGACAACAGTCTGCGCTGTGCCTCGGCAACAGCGGGACCGCTGCCAGCGGGATCGCGAGCCTGGCCGTTCTCATCAAACACAGCCAGGCGAGAGCGGAGCATACGCAGCGAGAGCTCGCAGTGATGACAATCAGCTGCTCGAAAGCTGACCGTGCATGCTCCGCTCCTAAACAAACGACACACAAATCGTGTGTATCCCCCACCGCCAGATATCGTGGGCAGGGAGAAACAGCGTTTGTAATGCCGTTCGCTCGCCATAGACTTTCTCATTGTTTTATATATATATGAGTGCTTGTGCGGACAGACAACAGTAAATAGACAGACACATACACAGAGCGCTACTGAAGAGCAGAAGCTGGTTTGCGCCCGGCCGGATGCGCTTTTATGCTTTCTGGTGC